GAAACAAGATCAAACAAGTGTTTTGGAGGATTTGAGCTAGATAGTTGCCAAGATTTTGAAGAGTTTCTCTTCCTTCTTTGCTAGAGAGGGCCGGCCACCAAGGAGGTAAGAAATGGTGATTTTTGTGGTAATTTTGAGATATTTAATCAATGGGTCAAATAAGTCCAAAAGGTGAATAGTTGTCATAAGTCATATCCAATATAATGGTGACACTTGTCACCTTCATTAATGCATTCCTATCCTTCTTTTTCCCTCTCACATCAATCACTTCACATCCTCTATTTATCTCTTAACACCCGATAAATTTCACCCAGTATCCGGAACTTAACCTAATTGGTCGAATTTTTCCGAACTTTTCGCCCTAGTGGGTCCCACATCCGGTATACACTCTTAATTTCTCAAAACCTATTTGATACTAGAAAAATCATCCAAAAACTATATCTGCTCATTAAAAACTATCTAGAAAATTTCCCTACTAAGAAAACGCAGAAAACAAGCCATTAAATAAATAAAACCCTAGAAAATGGGAAAAGTACGGGTTCTCACACTAATTCTTTTCGGGGCGTCACATCAGAGCTATTTCAAAAATAAATATCATACATATCTGAGACAATTTAGAGGTAGACAATTCAAAAGGTATCCACCATTCGAAAATAGTGAATGAATGCAAATAATGAAGGACCTAAGGCTGAAATTAAAGAACCACCCTATCCAATAGTGACCATCCTTCAATGTAAAAGGCAAAAGAAAAAGGAAAAATATAACATTTTTAACTTAAAAATTTTACTATTCCATGAACTGGTTTTAGAATGATTGAATCTTGATTTGTTCACGCCTTTAATATAGTAATATATAAAAATAACATAACCAAAAGTACGGAAAACAACATATAATTTAAGAAAATAGGATCTGAATGCAAGTGAATCCTAACATCTTCTTGTTATTTGAGCTGCAAAAAATTAACTATACCTTTTTAACAAATGAAAAAACTTGGAAAGACCAACATATCATACCAGATTTTTTATTGCCTACAAAGATTGAAACCATTCTAGGGACCAGTAAATCTACTATAATTAAGGCAACATTCTCAAAATGTTATCCCCATTACATGATTAGAAGCCAATCATAGCTTCTTAGAACCAAATCAACACGAATTTTATTAAAAAAAAAATTGACATTTTTGTAAACTAAAATAAAATAAATAAATGATGTTCTCGTAAAAGAAAAAGGAAAGGCAACATCTCTGCAAATACGCAAGGAAGAGGTATTTAAAACAAGTATCTAAATTAATAGGGCTCTATGATCACTTACAGTGCTATTGGACGTTTGTCAAAGAAATCCCAGAAACTTAGAACACACAAAATATTTTCTTGTTAAGGATTCAAATACAGAAAACCTAGAAAATTACAACCAGAACTTAATTTAACAAAATAAAACATGAAATTTATCAACTTTTCCCACCTGCAATCACAAAAAAGGGGTCAAGTTCAGATCAGATAAGTAAAATGAGAAAACAACATGAACAAAATATTTAATGAAAAAAATCTCAAAATGTTCAGATTCAAAACCTAAAAGGATTTCAAATTTGTCTGTAACACTTGCTCATCACATACATAGATAGGAAAAGGGGGAAAGAAAGAAGAGGATTTTGACCAAAAATAAAAATAAAAAATAAGAGAGAAGAAGAGGAGAGGAAGACAACCAAGCAGAGGCAGAAACATCTAGAGCCCTATTATCCTACAATATAAAAAAAAATAAACAACATTAGTTTGGTCAAAAAGCTACAACTAAACCCCTCATTTCACTAACCAAAAAAGGGAAAAAATTAAAGGGCTAATTATTTTTGGCAGAGGAAGAAAGAACCTTAGAGCAAATTATTTTTTCTTCTTACCATTCGTTCTCACCAAGATAGATAGAAGATAAGAAGATGAAGATGATGCTGATGATGAAGATGAAAGGATGAGGGGCGTTTCGGTTGAATCAAGTTCGCTCTTTATCTACTTATGTTGAAAACAAGATTTCTTAATTATTTTTAAACATCAGTTGTAAGTACTCATGTTATTCACACATAATTCAAGTTACCCAGAGACATACATGTATATTGAGAAATTTTATGCGCAAATCCTCATGGCTCTCTTATTATTCATATAACCAAAGAAAATAATCATACCAGTCTACTTTCAAGGGCATATATCTAATGTTTTACTCTAGCAGCAGCTGAAAAACCCAAAATTCTCCTCATTTTAAGCAACGGTCCACATGGATACTGTTGATGCAGCTAATGCAGATCTGCAAAAAGTCATAATAAAAATTTCTTTGTACTGTCAATCAGAGAGTCATAGAGAATACAATTTATCTGCAATTCTTCAAATTTCAGTCCCAATTAAAGGGCAACATCACTATATTTTGCATGGTAACACTCAGTTATAGATAGCCTTAATTTCTATTGTAAGATCACCATAAATTGGATGAAATTTTCACTTAGACATTTTCTCAAACAACTCAAATGCACTACACAAAATCATTGGATTCTAAGGCCACAACTGAGGGACTACTCTAAGGCCATAACTAAGGTAAATAACAATCTATCAAAAGCCATACAGCACCACTCAATACTACATACATCTACCATCATCAATGTCCTCAAAGAAAAATCTCCAAACACTTTGCAGCCCTAGGCATATCTTCTATCACTATCTCATGCTTTATCACAATTCCATGAAAATCTTCATAATACATATACCATAGCTTTAATAAGAGACAATCCATTTTGAAAAAATGCAGTTCAAGGGATTTTGAGAAATTTCAAAGAATTTATTTTTCATGAGAACAGGGAAATTGACCAAAACTATCATGGGCATGCGATTAGTAGTTTTCAAGTACTCTTGGATCACTTGACGTATCTGTGAATGTTTCAACTGGATAGACAAAGACAACAGAAACAGCAAGCTTTCATACACTTTTCACTATAAAACACAATGCAAAAGACAAATAAACCATGTATTGAAATTCAATAGTGAAAGATGAAGAAGTAATAATACATAAATATATATATATATACACACACACACACACAAGCAGAAGATAAAGAGCTTGATTATATTGGATTCCACAACCAGATGCTTCAGTTAACATTAGTCTATATGTAACTTTTGTTTGGTTGACTTATCTTTTTCCGTTAAAAATAGATAATTAATTCAAAAAAAGCATCGCATTGGAAAACCCTGTAAGAGGAAAATATAAAGGGCAAACCAACTATGAATGAAATTAGCATTAGAAAGTTTTGGATGATGCAAAATGAAACCAAACGTGGAAACTTTCGACCGGCAAAAAAAAAAACTATCCACAATAACAAAACTCAGAGATCACAAACACTTACAAATACTCAAAGGAAAGCAATGCCAAAGTAAGACTACGAGCAGCAGCAAAACCAATAACTAAACAAGACATTAAAACCTTTACCCTTCAATAAAATGGAAAAAAAATGAAGAGAAAATAGAAACTTGGAGGTCTAGTTTAGCATAAAATTAGAAAAATGATTGAAAAGTAAACTAAAGAAAAACTCAAACCTTGAAAAGTTTAATCTTTTTTCCTCCTTCCCGTCAATTTTCCTTCCAAAAATAAAAGAACCAGGTTTATCTTCCTTTCATTCGTTGACACTATCTGCTCTCTCTACAATAGAGAGAAAATTTGTGAAATGAATGGAATAAAAGATAAAATATTCCTTTCACAATAAAAAAAAAAAAAAGTTCTCAATCAAATCTCTAAAACCAAAAAATGAAAATATAAAAATATGAAAAGCAAGTATGTCAAACATGGAGGTCTAAATTCTTTGCTAAAAAAAAGCTTCATTACCTTAGACCCTTTCCTTCTTCTGTATTATCACCCATCGAAAGAATACTTTCTTCAAACCAAAAAAACAGCAGGGAGTAAAATACATAGTTAGATTGAAGACTAAAAAAATGAAAGAATTGAAAAAAAAAGAACTCCAAGTCTTTCTTTGATACAAATAACGATTTACCAAAGCAAATGGAAGCATGAGTATTTTTTTTTGAGAAAAAAAAAAGAGAGGAAGAACTGGAAAAGAGAGAAGCTACTGAGAGGAAGAGAAGAAAGAGAGGGACGGCAGAAGTATTGAGAGAGAGAGAGAGAGGATAGTTAATTTTGTAACCCTAGACATTTTGTGACAAAAAATCGAAGAGGGGTGGGTGTGATTTGACATGGGCCACTGTTTGCAAGAGCAGCTCACCTGCTCTCTGGCAACAGAGGAAGAGAAAGAAGCAAGAAACGAAGAGATGGAACTCTGTCCTCCGCTTGTGCTATTGTTAGTCACTTAGTCTTATACAATGCTCTCTTTCTTGTTAGAATAGAATTACAATGATGATGAAGAAAAAGGACAGCTATTAATTATTGCTCTCTTTAGTGGGTTCCATACGGCAAAACACTTAGGCTTACAAACGCACGGCCCAATTTGCAACCTCTGCATTAAAAAAAAAAAAAACACACACACACACATTGACGAACACACTCCAGCCAATAACAATTGGCCACATCAGCAAAACAACAACCCTTTTGAGCCATGGCATTTGCGCTTTTATACATATGTTAATTAGAGGTGTCAATGGGTCAGATCTGCCTGACTTCGGATCGAAATAATTTGGGCCAAGTTTTGCATATCATTTGATTGGGTTCAACTTGAATCTCAAAATTAGTCCAATTAAACTATGAGTTGAGTTTCAATTCATTTAGAGTCAACCTAATTACAGTTCGACCGGATCAATTAAGTACAAAAAAAACTTATTCTTTAATTTATGATGATGCATTTTATCTAATATATATTACAATGTGCATAATTTATAGTTTGTATATAATGATAAAATAAAATAAATATTATATGCTCATCCTACATAAAATTAAGGACTAATTCTAAATTTAGACCAAACTCGAGCCTGAAACTTTTATATCCTGAACAGTCTAATATGGGCGTTGAACATTTAACTTGAAACCCCAGCCTAGAAATCCGAATGACATTTAATTTTGTGAGCTGAGTTTGGACTTTTCAAAACCCGGCTAACCAGGCCCGATTGACGCCTCTGGTACTCTTCTATTAGGTTCTTGCTCTACTGGGTGTATATATACTCTGCTCAATTGCCAAACGTTCCCAGCAAAGTAGAACTACTAGGAAATCTTCTGAGATCAAGGGATGTCAGGTCCACAGTGCTGTGAAAATGCGCCAAGCTTGAGCTCAAGTTCTGGAGCAGGGCATGTGGAAGAAATTGGAGGCCTCCAATCTTACGTTACTGGCCCTGCTGATTCCAAGATTGCGGTTTTGCTTGTCTCTGATGTTTTTGGTATGTATTTCTTCCAAAACTTATCTTTGATTCGGCAAAGTTGCAATCTTTTGTTCTGTTTAGTCTTTAATTTGGTCTGATTTTACTTTTTGTTTGATATCTAAGTCTTATGTCAATCATCATCGCTTGTTTTTCTGTACTGGGTTTTAGCAGGGGTATGATATGAAGAAATTGCACAAAAGATTAATACAACAATGAAATGAGAATATGTAGATTTAAGAAAAAAATTGTTTTTTTGCCTTCCCTTTTGTTTGTAGTGGAAGCTACTTTTACTAGCCACTTTATTGTTAAAGGTACTTATCTAGTTATCTTGGTATCCATAATTTTGAGTATGTATTATATGTGCTTCCAGTCCTCTCTGGAATCAGCGCTGTATATTGGTTTCTCTATTGTGAACCTTGAAATCCTAAACTTCTTAGCAAGTCAAATTTTTGACTCATTGTCCTTTTTTGTGTGCAGGATATGAAGCTCCAAAGTTGAGGTATGAGATTCCAGAACCTTGTCCCATTAGAATTCTTCTAGTTTTGTTCTATTCTTCTCCTCTTTCTGGGTGGGGACCATGAGAGGCTGAAATAAGTTGATTGAAATCTCTTTGCTGTGCCCTTTTCCTTGATAGCCTGGGCTTCCATAAGCATTTGATGAATAAGCAGCAGCAAGCTACCTGTCTAATATCATAATCTGCTATAAAAGCCATGCGTGTATACGTTTTCCATCTTGTTTCCTCCATCTTCTGGAAAAAGGTGAAACTGGGAAACCATTTTCTGAGTCTAGAAGAGGATAATTATCATCTTGAAGTTCCTGGCTCAAAGATAAACATATCAGCAGTATTTATATTGTTCTACTTCTTTTAGCGTCATACAGTTCTAATGTCGTTTATGTACCAATGCTACTAAGTCGTCTTATCGACCAAAGCCACTGAGCTGCACGTCCTATGTACAATAATCCTATGCACTAAAAAGTAATATGTAGCAATATGTAATTTCTAAACTAATATATTAGTCTTTCAACTGTGAAGGAAGCTTGCAGACAAAGTTGCAGGAGCTGGAATTTTTGTTGTAGTTCCAGATTTTTTTTTCGGAGATCCTTTAGTGCTTGAGAAGACTACTGTTGATGACTGGTTGAAGAATCATGGCCCTGTAAGCCTTCTTCTTAATAACAGCCTAATCACCTTTTGTTTGCTCAATTGAAAGCATGTGGTAACTATAGTATAGTATTAATATCTCCCTTTGATGCTACAATTTCCTTTTGCCAAATCAGGAACTCTGTTTTCCTCTCTAGTTTGAACCATGTCAAGATTTCTATCGATTACCTTTTTAGATCTTAGACTTCATGCTGGCACTTCCTGGACAGTGAATCTGTCTGTTCTGATCTATGGGATCAAATATTGAACCAATCAAAGCTGTATTGGCATTGACACTCTTAAAGGCTAAAGTGTAGCTCATGACTTTCCTTTTGCAATATTTTCTACATCGCATTAGTCTGGAATTGCCCAGCTTTGGTTGTGTTTCTAGGTTATAAATCCACGCTCCAAGAAAAAGTTTTTAAATCCTATTTTCAGGCATTACTTTACAACCAGAATAGTCAGGATGTTGGGAACCAATGGACATTAATGAGAACAAAAATAGGAAGTTAACATTTGCTATAAAACAAAATATAAACTTACAGCTATAATAATTTTTCTTAGTATGGAAAACAATGATCATAGAGTGGTAATATTTCAAGAAGTTGCTATCTCTGCATGAAATGCTACAATGGATCAATTCTCAAGCGGAATGCCTGAGGTAAGAGGAAAAGAATTTGTTTGAGTAGGTATTCAAATGCAATGAGACAGGAGGAGATGATAACCGTCTAGTGCTCAGTAACAGAATTGCTTATCAGTGTTGATGCATGACATTTAATCTTTATGGCTGCACAAAGTTTTACCCACCCAAAGCATGACTGCATGACGGGGAAAGAGAAAAAGGGTTAAATGCATAGTATCACAGAGAGAGAGGAATATGGGCTTTGAAGGGGCTGAAAACTCGTCCTAGAGAACGAAACTACGATGACGTTTTTTCTCACTTCTTCTCTTTGTTTTATAGAAGCCATCTCCACTTATATGTATCTTTACTTGAGTGTTATAGACTGAATGATGTTTAAATGAGTAAAATTCCTTACACAGCAAAACTCAACGAAGATCTGAGGTTAATGTCTTGAATATAGGATTCACTTTAGTTTCTCAGTATACATTTAGAATGGCAGATTTATGCCTATGAAAAACAAGTTAACTGAAATACTTATCTTGTAATACCGTTGCTCAAAAATACTAACCTATGAATGCAAAAATCTGGATTTGAAATCATGCATTGATAATTTAAACTCCAGATTTTGATTCACTTCTCTGGTTAGTTTTCTTCTCTACCTCTTTCCCCTTTTTTTCCCCTTCTTTTTCTGGTTGATGTTATGTTGGCACTAGTCTTGCTTGCACTTTAAATTACCTCTTGAATCTGCTAGAATAATACTTACTGGTTTGCTACTTATTATCTTTCATTCTAACTTTCAAGTGCCCGATTTAAAAGTCACCTTCCATGAACAAATACTAAAAGTCTACCAACCTTTTCCTGAGTCTTTGTTTGGAAATAAATATTTTGAAAACTTTTAAAGGATCAAGGCTTCGAGCATGCAAAGCCAGTCATTGAAGCTTTAAAAGGCAAAGGCATCACTAAAGTTGGAGCTGCAGGCTTTTGCTGGGGAGGTAGGATCTTTATCTGGACAACAGTTGCTAGTTGAATGTCCATCAAAGTGTTCAGTCTGCTTCTCAGTTCCTTGGAAAAAATCATAACTTTGTCTTCTTTAGTTTACTAACACAAATTCTGGAATTTTCAGCAAAAGTTGTAGTGGAACTAGCAAAATATGCCTATATCCATGCTGCAGTGCTTTTACACCCTTCTTTTGTCACTTTGGATGATATTCAGGGTATAGCTCTGTTCTTAAGCCTTATTTTTATTTTTTTAACTCATATATGCTAATAAAAAACTGAGGCATGTATTTGAGATGTATTCATTTTCATCTAATTTGAATTGTATAGTTCTATATTGTCTGGCAGTTTGGTAATGCATGCAATTTTCTGAGTTGCTCCAAACAAGATCTCCTTTCTACATTTCTGAGATTGCTGTAGCTTGATCTAATTATCTTTAGGTTATGGTTGGAACTCTAATCATGTTAGATTTTAGATTTGGGACTTTTAGCTTCAGTTTTATGCATGTAGTGACTGACTTTTTATGGTACATTTTAGGGGTCAAGGTTCCAATTTCTATATTGGGAGCTGAGAAGGACCAGAAATGGCCACCAGAGCTGCTGAAAAAATTTGGTGAAGCCTTAGATGCTAAGCCTGAGGTAGGAAATTTAAGAGATTTTATACATTTAAATCTGGCGCCTGTCTGTAAGTTATGTTTTTTCCTTTTTGTTGTCACATTTTTGGGATTTCTTTAATTTCTTAAAAGACTAAATTCAAGGGAACTACGGCGTTCAATTCATATAGTGTGTTCTATGTTCTTCCGGATTTGCTCTCTTTCTAACTGCTTGAATAGTTTATGGACTCATCTATATGTTCATTGAAATTCCACTGGTTGGGCAGAGCAGCTAGTGACTAGCATACCTTTTTTCCCCCTCCATGGTACATTGAAAGGACTAAGCCCTTTAGGAACTAATCAGTCTTGTGTTGAAGCACCAACTAAATCAGCATTAAGGCATGCGTGTGACTAGTATACTTCAGTGTATGAAATATGTGGAATTGCACGAAAGTGTGCTGTTTGATATACAAACAAACATTAGGATAAAGAATTAGTTACTATAATGCATCTCATTATCGGGTTGAGACTGTCTTTTGAAGTTATACATGATGTTGTAGCTGAAATGCTTAGTTTAGCATCCTTTACTACTCTTGCAATCAAATTTCAAGGTTATAGTTAGTCCAAATCAGTGGTAATCAACAATTTTGACATTTATCAAAGTTAACAAAATGAGGACATTGATAGAGATTTTTCTTGCAGGTTGATGGTTTCGTGAAGATATTTCCTGGGGCTACGCATGGATGGACTGTGAGATACAAGGATGAAGATGAAAAAGAGGTGAAGGCAGCAGCAGAGGCCCATCAGGATACGTTGGATTGGTTTGTTAAGTACCTCAAGTAGTTCTCTTTAAAAATTGCATCACCAGGTTCAGTCACTTGTTCACAACGGAGGCTTATCTTGTTTTGCATGAAAATGTCTTTTTAAGTCTTTGAATAAAGTATTGTCTTGTGTTTATGGGGGATCATGTTCTTGTTTCTAGACTTAGGTAATCAATTGAGTGACTTCAACTGATCAGGGTTTTATATCAGATGTACAATGGTTGATGAAGTATGTTAACGAGATAATTTTTTTCTATTAAAGAAGTGGCTTTATTTATTCTCTTTGTGGTATGGTGGGTCCATGCGACTTGTATGTTGCTTATAATTGTTGGAACTTCTTTGTACTCGTGGAATCCATGGACAACATACTTCTGCTACGTGCTGGAACTTGACGGCAATGAAGTATGCGAGGTTCCATTGCCATGGTAACGCAGAAGTGAGATAGACGGCAATGTACTTGGTGTGGGGGTTTTTATTTGGCTACTTTTGCATGACTCGTTTCTACAACCAAAGTTTACGAAGTAATTGTGATGAAAGACTATGGCATTGTAGAATGTTGGACCCCTTTGTTTGAGATCTTGAATTTGACATTCTTTGAGTTCTACCCTAACTGAAATTTGATACCACTGATGCGTGTGGAAAATGGTCATGTGTTAATTGTTAATGGCGGGTTAATGTTTAGTTACAACTTTCAAACAGTGGAATACAATCATGATTATCCCGTAGTGTCTAATTGATGTACCCAAAAGTTTAAGCTCCCCGGTTCGGCAAAGGCAGATCGAAGGACAGTCGGACCCTGAATCAGAAGGGGAATATTCCAAATTTCCATCCGAAAGAAGAGGAATGCTCAATAGACCATGATTATGGGAGAGCATTTACCGGACCATCATTCAGAAGTGGACTTTAGGGAATTTGAGTTTTTCATGAATTACCACTTTCCGCATTCATTTTTTTTTTTTTTAAATCTGATGTAGTCCCCTGTTGTGTATTTGCCCTCTCAATGTTTTCTATATTCGAGTTTTCTATAAAACTTGTGCAAAGATCATTCTATTTATAAGCCTTTGATCTTTTAAGAAACAAATTATGCTACAAATTGCCAGATAAGTACATGGATTTAGGGTTTCGACTCCATGTTTTTGATTTTTCTGATCATAGTCCCCTTATTTGCTCAATTAGCTAATTAATTGCCGGATGGTAATCTATGACTAGAATTGGTTGGATACTTTTCTGTATACAGAATTGATCCCTTAGAATTATATTTAATGATGTAAGATAATAATATTCTAAACCAGGGCAAATTAATATATTCTTAATGCAGACATTAATTGAAAAGAGGAGCTCCTTTTATTCATTGTGCGTGTATGGATACGAAGGTTGTTTGGTGACTGAATCTTGATGACAAATTTTAGGATTCAAATTAAAGCACTTTGAAATAGTTGGCCTGCGTGCTTCGTGGATCGTTACTTTTTAAGTCATCCAGTAATATATCTTGTGTTTACGGGGGATTAATTTCCTGTCTCTAATTTAACTAAATAATCTAGTTTAGTAACTTCTTCAACTTGATCAGGGGTTGATCATGATATATAGATTCGTTGATGAAGTTAAACCAATGATTTCCATCATAAGCGGTCCAATGCGGGGGACTGGTGGGATTTTGTCAGGCGCCCAGGCACAATGGCCTGAATTTGAGAACTGATTAGAATTGAAGGTGAGAATGTGACACCCCAACTTTTAAGATGCTATTGTTTTACGGTTTCTTTAGTTCATTTTATTTTAAAACATTATTTTGTTTCAGGGAAGATACTAAAGTTATTTCTTTGGGTTTGATTTAAAATCTTATTTTGTTTTAAAAGACTAGAAACCCTAAAATTTTAATCAAAAATCCTAGTTTACTTGTGACTATGTTTAAATCCCTCATATTTGACTCAAAACCCTAATTTTATTTTATGGAATTGCAAAATTCATCACACTTTTCTTAAAATTCCTTTTATTTGGAAATTATTTATTTAATATGATCCTCCTACTCAAGTACTCCACAATAAGTGTAAATAAACCTAGAAAGTAGGGTTTCACTCTTCGTTTTCAAGAATTGAGCAAATTAGGGTTTTCGCGATTTTTCGCATGATGAAATTTCGGTATGGAGCAAGGATCAAATTTGGTGATTAAAAATGACTTTTAAGTGAGAAATAATATGTGATTAGAAGCAATGATACAAGGTTAGTGAATAGGAAGTAAAAACCCTAGTACGTGTGTTTTTAAGAAAAACGGCGCGAACCGGAGGGTCCCGCGCACTACCGATTGAACGCACCACTTGACCACCACTTTCTTCCCATACAAGTCTATTGATATTTGAGCAAAATATCTCCTAATTTACAGCTAAGCTTGACCGAAATTTGTGGCTCAAATGCAAGGAAGGAAAGAGAAAATTTTTGTGGTTGAGGTTAAGCCAAGTGTTGGCCAAACTTGTGGTTAGAATTAATTCTTATCTTTCTACCTTCTTATAAGACAAACTTAGCTTAATCTCCTTCATTATTTTCTGCATCTTGGCCGAGTAAGGAGAGAGAGAAAGGGAGAGTAAGAGTTGCACCATTTTCTTCTTGATTTACACCAACCAAGTGCTAAAATCGAATTCTAAACCGATTGATCGTAAGTTTGGAAGCTTGGGAAGCTAAGGGAACCAAAAATTTCAAGAAATAGTGGAGGATCACTCTTGCAAGCCTTCTTTTTGAGGTATAAAATCTGATCTATGGCTTTGATCCTTTTATTCTTGTTTAGGATGTTAAATAGTTCATGTTTTGGGTTTGATTACAAGTTATGCAAGTTGATGTGATGATTTTGGATGAGATAGGTAAGTTAGGGTTTGATTAATTTCTGCCTATACTTAATGTATGATTGATATATGTTGTATCCAAAGTTATATAGGGGGTTTTGGTAGCAAGTGTAGCAAGAAATTTAGAAAACTATCATTGAAACCAAAAGATTCCAGATTTCTGGAAAATTTTTTCCCCTTTCTGTCCGTTTTTGTTGCACCATGTTAGAGGCCGAATTGGGATTGGAATAAAACATGAAAGTTGTAGAGAATGATATTTTATAGGTGCCTACAAAATTTCAACTCAATCAGAGCAATGTAGCTCGTGAAAAGACCAAAATACCCTCACTGATTTAGGTCACTTTCCAGAGTTCCGCGTGGACAGTTTAGTCCTTTTGATTGAATTTATTCACTATAATCCGTTTGGATTCGGCCTTTCACCAAAACATAAAAGTTTCAGTGTTCTGTATTAGCTTTGTAACGCCACCAAGAACACCTTAAACGGACCTTGGTAGACTGAGATATGGTCACTTGAATGCAGTACGGTGGATTAGCCGAATAGTTGAAACCAGGTTACATGGATTGGGAATTTGATCAGGTTACACTGGAAATTGGACTAAGTGATCTTCATGAACATTGTACCCTTATTTCTCAGTTTTCTAATGCCTTTGGAATTTCTTGATTTGGATTTGTGAGCTAGGAGTTACGATCCAGCAAACATACCCTGTCCGTCATCTTAAAGTGCAAATTTCTGGCACTGTTTTCCATACTTTCGACCCATCTCTGTTCAGATCCGGATTTAAGTGTCTTCATAAAAGTTATAGAATTTTCTCTTAGCTTCGTAACGGTACCTCATGTACCTTGATCCGACACTCGTAGCCTCGATTGTACTCAAAACAGTTTTGACGGCAAAACGGCTAGGCCGCCATTCCCGTTTCCGTATGCCGTTTCCGCACATGCATGTGCCAATTTTGTCGTTTTGCTTGTTTTAGGCATATTAGTAGCCGTTTGTGATACTATGTGATGCAATCTTCTATTTCAGATGGTGGTGAGCTAGGTGGAGCCGGTGGGGCCTACTAGCTACTTTTCGCGACGCGAATTTCATCCTTTTGTTATCCTTGTTCGTTGTGTAAGTATTCAGGCCGCTTTTACGTGTTAGTTGTTTATGTGATTCGATATGTATGAAAAGGGAAAATCGAAGAGGGGTGGGTGTGATTTGACATGGGCCACTGTTTGCAAGAGCAGCTCACCTGCTCTCTGGCAACAGAGGAAGAGAAAGAAGCAAGAAACGAAGAGATGGAACTCTGTCCTCCGCTTGTGCTATTGTTAGTCACTTAGTCTTATACAATGCTCTCTTTCTTGTTAGAATAGAATTACAATGATGATGAAGAAAAAGGACAGCTATTAATTATTGCTCTCTTTAGTGGGTTCCATACGGCAAAACACTTAGGCTTACAAACGCACGGCCCAATTTGCAACCTCTGCATTAAAAAAAAAAAAAACACACACACACACATTGACGAACACACTCCAGCCAATAACAATTGGCCACATCAGCAAAACAACAACCCTTTTGAGCCATGGCATTTGCGCTTTTATACATATGTTAATTAGAGGTGTCAATGGGTCAGATCTGCCTGACTTCGGATCGAAATAATTTGGGCCAAGTTTTGCATATCATTTGATTGGGTTCAACTTGAATCTCAAAATTAGTCCAATTAAACTATGAGTTGAGTTTCAATTCATTTAGAGTCAACCTAATTACAGTTCGACCGGATCAATTAAGTACAAAAAAAACTTATTCTTTAATTTATGATGATGCATTTTATCTAATATATATTACAATGTGCATAATTTATAGTTTGTATATAATGATAAAATAAAATAAATATTATATGCTCATCCTACATAAAATTAAGGACTAATTCTAAATTTAGACCAAACTCGAGCCTGAAACTTTTATATCCTGAACAGTCTAATATGGGCGTTGAACATTTAACTTGAAACCCCAGCCTAGAAATCCGAATGACATTTAATTTTGTGAGCTGAGTTTGGACTTTTCAAAACCCGGCTAACCAGGCCCGATTGACGCCTCTGGTACTCTTCTATTAGGTTCTTGCTCTACTGGGTGTATATATACTCTGCTCAATTGCCAAACGTTCCCAGCAAAGTAGAACTACTAGGAAATCTTCTGAGATCAAGGGATGTCAGGTCCACAGTGCTGTGAAAATGCGCCAAGCTTGAGCTCAAGTTCTGGAGCAGGGCATGTGGAAGAAATTGGAGGCCTCCAATCTTACGTTACTGGCCCTGCTGATTCCAAGATTGCGGTTTTGCTTGTCTCTGATGTTTTTGGTATGTATTTCTTCCAAAACTTATCTTTGATTCGGCAAAGTTGCAATCTTTTGTTCTGTTTAGTCTTTAATTTGGTCTGATTTTACTTTTTGTTTGATATCTAAGTCTTATGTCAA